ATTTCCAAAATGTTCTAGGAGAGGAGGGTCACTGAGCCTAGGGTTCTATGGATTGCAGAGATGGATTTCCTATTTCTGAGAAGGTTCCGAGTTTGCAGAGTTTGAATGGTAGCATTTCAGGTACACAAGGGACTATTATATAATTCACTGCTTAATGTAGGAGTCTTTTGTATCATTTCAGATCACCCTTCCAAATTACCCCTCCTGGTGACTACGTCATGGCTAAAACACACAATGTGACAGAATTTATTTTCCTGGGACTTTCTTCCAATCAGCTGGTGCAGAAAGTCTGCTTTGTGATATTTCTGCTCCTGTATGTAGCCATCGTGCTGGGGAATTTCCTCATTGTCCTCACTGTCATGAGCAGCAGAAGCCTTGGCTCCCCCATGTACTTCTTCCTCAGCTACCTGTCCTTTGTGGAGATCTGCTACGCCTCGACGACAGCCCCCAGACTCATCTCAGATCTGCTGGCTGAAAGGAAAGCCATATCTCTGTGGGGCTGCATGTCACAGGTTTTCTTTATCCACTTGTTTGGTGGCACTGAGATTTTCCTGCTCACCGTGATGGCCTATGACCGCTACGTGGCCATCTGCAAGCCCCTCAGCTACACCACCATCATGAACCGGCAGGCGTGTGCCTTCCTGGTGGGCGCAGCATGGGTGGGGGGCTTCGTGCATTCCTTGGCCCAAATCCTTCTTGTCTTCCGCTTGCCCTTCTGTGGCCCCAATGTGATCGACCACTATTTCTGTGACGTGCTTCCCTTGCTCAAACTTGCCTGCTCTGACACCTTCCTCGTTGGTCTTCTGATCGTTGCCAATGGGGGGACCCTGTCTGTGATCAGCTTCGTGGCCCTCTTAGCCTCCTATGTGGTCATCTTGCTCCATCTGAGGACTCGGAGCTCCGAGGGGCGGCGCAAGGCCCTGTCCACCTGTGGGTCCCACATCACCGTGGTCACCTTGTTCTTTGGGCCCTGCGTCTTCATCTATCTGAGACCTTCCGCCACCCTGTCTGTGGACAAGATGGTGGCCGTGTTCTACACGGTGATCACCCCACTGCTCAACCCTGTCATCTACTCCCTGAGAAATGCTGAAGTGAAGAAGGCCATGGAGAGGCTGTGGGTCAGAGCAATGAAACCAGAAGAGAGGTAGAGGCTGAGCTTTGGTCTTGATCTGTGAGTTTAGAATGATGCTAAGACCGGCATTTAAAGGAAATTAAAAGAAATAGAGGAAAATAAAAACAGAGAAATGCTCACAATAGACATTTTAATAAAAATATGTATATTGTTGCATTCAATAAAAATGTAAAAGATTATGTCTAAGTAGATGTAAAGACTGGAAGGAAATCTACTCCATCTTTTCAGCAGTCAAAAAAAAAAAAAAGATGCCTAGTTCAAACTGAAGGGGCAGAATGGGACAAAGTTCACTTCGCAGGACTTGTTAGTTCTAGAGTCTTCTAACTGGTTTCCATGCTCAACAACTTGTATAATTACTTGTAAAATATTTCCTCTTATGGATATACTGTTACTTAAGCCATTGTTATGGTTAGAAGTTTAGATCATTTCTAATTTTTTAGTCATATAAGTAACACTGAGGGAAAAAATAATACTGAGGTCAGGATCTGTGAATAGAAATATTTTACTACATTTTTTAAAGAAGCTCACTTGCTATTCTGGCCTGGAGAATTCCATGGACTGTATGGACGTGGACATGGGGTCGCAAAGAGTTGGACACGATTGAGTGACTTTCACTTTCACTTGCTATAAATAATTTACTATTTTAAAAGCTATTGCAACCTTTAAGGCATAATGTTAAATTGAGGTTTCGAAATGCCGTAGTAACATTCCTTGTGACAGAATTGAACATGATCACTTAACATTTTCTTGGTGAGAAGTAAGATTTCATGTAGTCTCAAAGTATCTTCCCACAACATATTTACTAGTTGAAAAAGTTAGTTGCAAAAGTCTACAGTGGAGAAACCTGGAAGACACCCCATTAAACAATTCCTCATAGTTAGTATCATCAGTATTGAAACTGGAGAGGCACACAGTATTATTACTGTGGTATTCCTACCACAATATATAACCTGAGTCTAATCATGACAAAACATCATGGAAACCCAACTAAGGAATATCCAACAAGGTTATTAGCCTATGTTCTTGTAAAATACAGGACAAAAGAATTGAAGACTTTTTCTAGATTACAGAGAGATGATAACCAAATGTAACCTGATCCCTGACTGGATCCTGTACTAGATGAAGGTCATTAGTGGATAAAAATGCTGTAGGTGAGGTATTTTTAATAATAAATTATCTCATAGTTCATTTCCTGATGTTGACAACTGTAATGTGTTTATGTCTTAGAAAGTCCTTGGATCAAAGAATTGCTCACTAAGATACGTAAAAGTGAATGAACAGTAGCATCAACTTTCTGACATTTCAGAAAAAATTCTGCCTATCTATTTATCAATTGAGAGATTGAATGATAAAATGTGATAAAATATTAATATTTGGGATATTTGGATCAAGCATATAAAGGAATCCTGTGTATTATTTTTTGCAACTTTTTTGTAAGTCAGAAATTATTTTAAAGTTAAAATATTTTGAACATTAAAGACAGCTTATTGTACAACTTGCATTTTTAGCTTTTTTGGTAAGTGAGGAGGATAGTTTTAATTATTATTTAGCTTTGAGTCTTATTTACAAAGTTTATAATGTTTAAAGTTTTACATTTCCACATAGTAATATTTATCAGTTTTTTCTTTTGATTTTTTGCATTGTGTCTGTTTAGATTATCCTATAAGATCAACTAAACATATATTTAAAGAAATTAGTTAAAATTTTAATTTAATTTTGTGAAATGATAATATATTCTTAACATTAAAAAACATCAGCAAAATAAAAAGATAGCCAAGTGGAAAGTTTCATTCCATTCTTTTCCTCATTCCCACATCTCCACTAGATGAACAATTTTCTTAGTTTTCTTTTGGGGTTTCTCTAAGCAAATATTAGAATATATATATATTATCATATATAATATATGTAACATATATAATATTTATATTATATATAAATATATATATTTATTTTATCATATATAATTATATATAATTATAATATATTTATAAATATATTATATAATAAATATATGATATATACAATATAATATATAAATATTATATAAGTTATATATTATATATTTAATATATTTATGATATATATCATATAATATATAATTATGATATTATGATAATATATGATATATAAATATTATATAATATATGATATAATAATATAATATATTATATGATATTATATTATATAATGTATTATAATTATATTATATATTAATGTACACTATATAATAATTATATAGTATATTAAATAAATATATTATATATAAATATAATATAATTATAATCTATGTTATAAAATACTATATTATATATTATATATATATTATACATTATATATATATTCTAGTATTTGTTTAAAAAACACCAACAGAAAAAACGAAAACAGAGAAAATTGTTTATTTAGTGGGTATATATATCTTTTATCTCTGTGTTTTACACAGGCATACTATATAAATGAACCTGAAATTTGCTTTATTTACTTAATAATACGTCTTGGAGATTTTTGTATGTGCAAGGAGAACTTCCTCTTTCTTGTAGTTTTGCCGTGTTCATTGAATGGGTATACTGTCATTACTTGTTCAATCTTCCACTGATAAAGATTTGGATTGTTTTGAAGTGTTGTAGTGAATAACTTTGATTTAAATATGTGCAGCTATGCTACGGTGTAGTTCTAGAAATAAAACTGCTTTAGATATTACCAAACTGTCCTTCACCTATTTGTACTCTCACCAACAACTTCGTGTTTCTTGTAAAATGTTTTGCTGAATTTTGGGATTTTTCTAATACAATAATTGAAAAAATGGGAAGTCAAAAAAATTTAATTTTCTTTTTTTTTTTTAAATTTTTTTATAACACTGAAAAACCATTCACTTTTATTAATTTACATTAATTTTACACAGATGGAATAAAACCTTTTACAATTGTTTCATCCTTGATTAAAATACACATTACAAGCTTCTAACAACTTTTCTGTTTCTCTGATGAAGTGATCTGAGAATGTGATTTATATGGTTTACAAAATGGAGGCTAATTTAGTAAACACAGATGGACATTAATTATATTAATATGACTTTTCCAGAGCTTTCTATACTTACATCAGATAGAAGAGGTGTCATTCCTTCAAGCCTGCCACATAATAAGCATGATTTCTCTATGTTGCTGTTATAAAAATACCTTAGATTTTCATGAACTCTCCTTGTTTTATGCTTAAAAAGCAACTGACATGATTATTGAAAACTTAGAGCAAACTTCTTACTTTGAATTATTCCCTGAACACTTACATCATGGTGACCCCAGAGGTGTTTGACATCAGTGACAAATACCTCCATTCAGAGGTTTAGTGTGTATATAACATGACTGTGTTCTTAATCTTACAAATTGGAGAATAAATGTAAATGATTCCTTCTTAATATAGAAAGGCTTCTCTTACCATTGGGCAACAATCATCAAAAACATAAGTTCATGTATACAGTAGAAACAAATCACAGCATGTAGTAATTTGAGAGTTGAATTACATTCGTTTTGGTTCCTTAATAATCTCAAATAACGTTAACATAAACAAGGATACATGAATAATAATTATACCTCTGCAAATATCCAACCCTTCATCTTGTGATCCATACTAACATATCAATTTTATACATGTTTTATGTATGGAATACTTGCTACAGTGTTTCTGCTTCGAGTAATTTAACTAAAGTGGTATGAATAAATGCTTTCTAGTATGAATTCTCTGGTATTGAGTTACGTTTGACGTTTGATTAAGCAGTTTTCTACATTTTTTTTTAATACATGTATGTTTCCAAGGAAAACACTTGTTTTTTCAAAATTGTATATTTAGGACCAAATTTTTTATCACTGATTCATTTCTAGGCTTTCTCTGCAGTATGAATTCTCCGATTGTGAGTGAGGTGATGGCTGTGAGGAAATCCTTGGCCACATTCCTTACATTTCTAACATTTCTCTGCACCATGAACTCTCTGATGTCGAGAAAGACCTGAACTCTGGGAACAGGCTTTGTCAGAGTCTGGACATGATAAGGTCTTTCCCCGGTATGGATTCGCTGATGTTGAGTTAAATGTGAACTCTGCTTAAAAGCCTTGCCACATGCTGTACATTTATAAGATCTCTCCCCAGTATGGATTCGCTGATGTCGAGTAAGAAAAGAATAACGGATAAAGGTTTTGCCACATGATGGACATTTATAAGTTCTCTCCCCAGTATGGATACGTTGATGTAGAGTAAGAAGTGAATAATTGATAAAGGCTTTGCCACATTCTGTACATTTACAAGGTCGCTCCCCAGTATGGATTTGCTCATGTTCAGTTAAAGCTGAACGTTGCTTAAAAGCCTTGCCACATGCTGCACATTTATAAGGTCTCTCCCCAGTATGGATTCGATGATGTTGTGTTAAAGTTGAACTCTGCTTAAAAGCCTTGCCACAAGCTGCACATTTATAAGGTCTCTCCCCAGTATGGATTCGATGATGTTGTGTTAAAGTTGAACTCTGCTTAAAAGCCTTGCAACATGCTGTACATTTGTAAGGTCTCTCCCCAGTATGGATTCGTTGATGTCGAGTAAGAAGTGGATAATGGATAAAGGCTTTGACACATTCTGTACATTTATAAGTTCTCTCCCCAGTATGGATTCGGTGATGTTTAGTTAATCCTGAACGCTGCTTAAAAGCCTTGCCACATGCTTTACATTTGTAAGGTCTCTCCCCAGTATGGATTCGCTGATGTTTAGTTAATCCTGAACACTGCTTAAAAGTCTTGCCACAGTCTGTACATTTATAAGGTCTCTCCCTAGTATGAATTTGCTGATGTTGAGTAACACATGAACAGCAGATAAAGACTTTGCCACATTCTCTACATTTGTATGGTTTCTCTGGAGCATGGATTCGCGGATGTTCAGTTAAATATGAACTCTGATCAAAAGTTTGGCCACCTGGTGCACTGGGAAGAGCTAGAGGGATCGGGTGGAGAGGGAGGTGGGAGGGGGGACCGGGATGGGGAATACATGTTAAAAAAAAAAAGATACACTATGGTTGTGATAAAAAAAAAAAAAGAAAAAAAAAAAAGAAAAAATAATAAAATTCAAATACATATAAAAAAAAAAAAGTTTGGCCACATGCTGTACATTTGAAATGTTTCCTTCCTGTATGAATTTTCCTATGTCTACTTTGATTTGGTGAGTTACTGAAGACTTTTCCGCATGTATTACACTTGCAATGTTTCTGCTTAGTCTGAATATTCTGCTGTTGAATAAGTTTTGAAGACTGGTTAACAACTTTACCATAATGATAACAATTATAAGTCTTCTCTCCAATATCCATACTCTTATAAGTATTAATAGTAAGATTTGAGCTTTGATAAAATATATACCTACACTTATGATGTTTAGAATTGCTGTCTGAATATTGATGTCCCTGTTGTTTCATGAGATATGAGTCTTGGTCAACATTGTGCCCAGTTTCATTGCATGAAGAGCTTCTCATTCCATCATGTATACTCTTGTAATTATTGGGGGTAGAGCTCCTGCTTAAGGCATTTCTCACTTTATTACACTTGTAAAGTTGCTCTGCACTAATTATACCTCCATATGTATTGAACAATGATGGTTGAATAAGGTCTCTCCCATTATTATCAATATTACAGATTTTGGAACAAGGAGAAAATAGTTGTTGGTTGAAGAACAATAAACTCTTGTTAAAGGACCCCTCAAATTGATTGTATTGGGAATTTTCCCACTGATGTTTAGGCTTCTGGTTTCCAGACATGTTTGAATGTATATTTAATAGACAGCTAAGCTCAGAGTGTAGGTTTAAATGAGTATTTGCAGTAGAGACTAGATGACTTTCCAGATTTTCCACATTTCCCTTTACAGAACATGTATGTTTCAAGAGATGATGTGGATCTTTGCTGAAAAATATACACTTAACTTCAGATGTTGATGACTGAAATTGGTCATCTGAAATTGGGTTTTCCTTATTTGATTCACATCCTTGATTTCTTTTGGCAGTAATGTTTACTTTATGCGAAACTGTATCAACTTGGTTATATCCATCACAACATACTCTCCGCTCTTTATATGCCGTCATAGATTCCCAGGCTTTGGTTAAATGTAAATGTGCAAGGTGAAATCTTTCATATATTCCTAGCTTTGCTGTTGGGAGTAAATCTTCTAAGCCTGGCTGTTGGGTCCGCAAACCCTGGGTGTCGAGAGAAGACACAGCTAGGTGTATGGCTGTCTCCATTCTCCTTACCTCCCAGGGATCCTTCATTTGCCCCAGAAACGTGACCGGTCCGGCTTAGAGACCACAAGACCTGGGTATATGGCTGTCTCCCTTCTCCTTACATCCCAGGGATCCTTCATTTGCTCCAGAAACGTGACCAGGTCCGGCTTAGAGGCCACAAGACCCAAGCAGGCCAGATTCCCATAGTTCTCTAACATCACGCCCCTGTACAATTCCTGCTGACCGAGGTCCAGGCATTCCCACTCCTCTTGAGTGAAATCTACGGTCACATCCTGGAATGTCAGCAGCCTCTGAGAAGCTGCCATTTCCTCCTCTTCTTCCTCCTGCTCTGCGTCTTCTCTGGGGATGTTACATCCCAAACTCATATCTGCATCTTGAAAAAATACCTTCAAAGGCATCCATGCAGCTGTTGAACCTTCGACTGCTGATAATGCTAATCACATCCTGGTGCTCTACAGTATTTGCAGATCGTCTGGGCTAGTTCTTCTCCTTCTTTTTCGAGTTGCAGAGAACAGTTCACGAGAGACAATGGACCTTCCTTCTGGGCTACCTCTTTAATTTTCATTTCTCTTATTTTGAATGAAGTTGTACATCTTTTCATACAGGTAAAAGACATTTGGGGAGCTCCCTGGCAGTCCTGTGGTTAGGACTCCATGCTTTCACTGTGACGAGCCTGGGTTCTGTTCCTGGTTGGGGAACTAGGATCTCACAAGCTGCTTGGTGTGGCTAAAAAAGCTATTTGTATTTTCTGTATAAACTGTTCCTATAATTTCCCTATCCATATTTGGGTTGTGGTTCTTTTTATTAAGTTCGAAGGACTGTTTAAATGTAAGTATTTGTTCTCTCTGGTATGAACTGTAGTGCACGCATGTGTGCTAAGTCACTTCAGTCATGTCCAGCTTTTTGTGACCCCATGGACTGTAGCCTGCTAGGCTCCTCTGTCCTTGCAACTCTCCAGGCAAGAATACTGGAGTGGGTTACCATCCTCCTTGAGAGGATCTTCCTGACCCAGGGATCGAACCTGCTTCTCCTGCGGCTCCTGCATTGACGTCAGATTTTTTACCACTGAGCCACCGGGGAAGCCCTTCACAATGTATACACATGTCAGAACATCACACTGTATGTCCTAAATATGTACCATTCTTACTTTTCAAGTTTATTTCAATTAAAATAGAAAATTAAACTCAGTATTAACTCATGCTTATTTGCTCAGTTGTGTCTGACTTTCTGCAACTCCATGGACTGCAGCCCACCAGGCTCCTCCGTCCATGGGATTCTCCAGGCAAGAACACTGGAGTGGGTTGCCTTGCCCTCCTCCAGGGGATCGTCCCAACGCAGGGATGGAGCCCAGGTCTCCCGCATTGCAGGAAGTCTTTACCAACTGAGCTACCAGTATTAACTCTTTCTAAGCAGATGGTGTGTGCGCGTGTGTGTGCCTGTGCATGCGCATGTGCATGTATACGCACGGGTCTCTGACTCAAAGGGGTGAGGTAAGGCAGAAAGGAAACTCTCTCTTCCTGCATCTTTGGCCAAAGAAATGCACACCCTGGGCCATTGTTTATATCACTTCCTTTCATTCCATCAGCCTGTGCTATTCCTAGAAGTCCGTCCCAGTTTCTGGATATAAAAAAGCTGTTAAACACACAGTGGTTTTACAACATTTGTTTCTTTTTCAGAGATATAATGGTGAGAAGTTAAGAAATCCTGAGCCTATTACAGTAGCTAATGCTATTTAGTTAAAAAAAAAGTTATGGAGATAAGCATTGATGGAGAAAGGTTTAACATAGGTTCCTTTAAGTAGTGAGAAATCCTGGGGCTTTAAAAACAGAGTTTCTGTTCTTGAAGTATTTAAGATGAGTTACAGGAAGAGGCCACACGCATACACCACTGTTTTATAATTTATTTGGCCAAACATACAAAGCTCCGAGGAAGTAGCATGGCTGCAAGAACAGAAGCAGGCTGGGGGCATATTCTAGTTCTATTTCCTTCTGGCCTCTTTGCTTCATAGTGAGGCACCAGCTGCTGCTGACACATTCTGTGTGGATGGGAGATGCTACACCGAGTCATTTGACACAACGGGGAAATTTATTATTTATATAGGTCTGAGCCATTCTCATCATCTTTCTGAACCCCAGTGACCTAATCTGTCAGGTGGGAATGCTAGTTTCTAATAGAGTGTTACTGTGACTGTATGTGAGATGTTAGAGAACTTGAAAGACACAAATGTACCATGCTGTTACTTAAGACACTATGCCTAGAAGTTAGGGAACTGTAGTCTTTCTGAAGCCCTTGCATGTGAAAACCATGTGCTCACAGTAGTCAGATGCTTAGAACTTTAAGAATGAGTCATAGTGGGACCTCTGTACTAGGAGTTAGGAAAAGAGTTTAACCATGCTATCAATGCACAGGGTGGCTTGGCACAGTGATTGTCCCTCTTTGACTGTTTGGGCACCTATAAAATGAATGAGTTGGGCAAAATGATCCTGAAGGCCCTTCAATGATTAGCATTCTGTGATTCAACTGTCACATGTGGACTATGTGTGTGAAGTGGTCCTGGTCCTCTTGGTTACAGTCTCCCTGGAACTCACTGACTTCACTGAGCTAGTGAGGGGTGAGGTCAGAGTCGGCCAGCAAAAGCCTCTTGTGGATGTCTGCGGTGGGACAGAAGGATGATGTGATACTGGATTCTCCTCCATCATTGGCTTGAAATGCAGATGGAAACCTCTAGGGGCCAGGACAAGAGGTTGTTAATTATACAGGGGCAAGTAGAAGTCCCAACATTGTAATTGGATTAATTAGAGATAAGTTCCTTAACCTCTGAAAGGAAACAATTGGGAAGTTGACTTTTGCTATTCTCAGAAATTCCCCAGACAGGGGATGCCAGAAAAGTTCAGGGAATTCAATTCTCTTGTCTCAGTTTTCCATCTCATTCACTTAAACACACAGTTTCACTGTCCAGCAAATATTTTTCTAAATCTTCATTTTCCTGGGTTTTAGGATAGACTTAACTTGTTCTATTCCCCTATAACTTTCTTCATGAGAAAGTCATTAAGTACTGGAATTGGCACATGCAAATACTGGCATGGGTGGTGCCTTGTGAGTCCATAGAAGAAGGTAAGCATTAAGTGGTGCTCCTTTGGGTGGAACAGACTCTGACTCAGGCGGGGTCTTCACACACATTGCACCATTCATTTTTGCTACTCTAGCTTCCATGTATTTCAATCATGGGCAGTCTTCTTAGATTTGCCCACTCTTTCAGCAGATGGGTCACACTTTAGATATCATCCTATTAAAGTCTTTCCTGCCAACTTCAATGACAGGAGGAGAAAGTGACTCTGTAGCTTGACTTAGAGCAGATATTACAGTCATCCTCACCAGAACCACTTGTAAAATGGTCACTGTGGGGGTGTTAAAGCTAGTTTTCATCAACTTCTGAGTCATGCAAGAATATCCTTTTGAAAAATTCAAGGGGGCTGGCTAAAACATTTTCATGCCTGAAAGTCTCTGGTGAAAATGAAGGCATTAGCTTCTTTCAAACCTGGGGATAGAACTACACAGAAACCTAAATATTGCTGAGGACCAATCTTGGCCCAAGATTTCCAAGTTTTAGATCAGTGCAAACTAACATACTGTTTATATTTCCTTGTGTCTGCGAAACAAAAATCTCTGTCTACCTGGAGTGACTTGTGCAAGTGAATCAGTTTTCTGACTACGGAAGTTTCAGAAGATAAAGTTAAGAATCAAGGCAATAAGCAATATTCAAGGTAAGCTTATTCACTTAATCTCTATAGGGGCATACTTTGGAATTATTTTCAAAAAGCTTACTTTTTATACTACATACCTTCATTATACTTTTATCTATTTATCTATCTATATATATAGTTTACAAGATACTTGCAATGATACCTTAGTTTTGAAATAGGTGTAGCAGCAGATGCAGAATTCAGGGGTCAAACCTCCAATATTTATTAACTCTGCTGAGTTCCCTACCCTATGTGAGATGTAACAGTAGAAAACTGTGAAGGTGGAAAACTGAAGTAGGAGCACATTATTGTCCACATCATTACTGTTATTTTTTTTAGAGCTTGCGCTTTAGCTTTGCTTTGCCTTTTCTTAGCAACACGACTCTCTTCTCTCTCCACGCTCTCCGTTCAGTGTGGGGGCAGCAGTGGGAGGGGTCAGTGGGTGAGATGGGTAAGGGAGAGCGTATTGGACAGGAAGCTGTGGAGACTGATCCTAGTCCAGGCTCTGCACCAGCCCGCTGTGTGAATCTGGGTCTTCTGTAAGAAGAGGAATCCACAAGCTTCCTTCCAAATCTAACGGTTTATTTTACTCAGTAAGGGACACTAGCGAGGAGAGGCTGGGCATCTTATTCCTCTGGTGATAGAATATCTTTGGAGAAAAAGTAGGAGAAAATGAGTACTGGAAAAGGCAGTTGGATCAATTTTTTTAAAATTATATTTTACTTGTTGGACTTATTGAGGGCTTAAGCCTGGAATACAGCTTCTCAGATAGCTCTGAGGGGCTGTTCAGACCAATCTTATTTTTCAGAAGTCCCAGGACCTAGAGTTCTATGATGGTAAAATTATAGGAAGAAATCATAGATGAGGATGAGAATGAAGAAGTTTCACAGAAGTTGTTTATTTAGTCTAATCTATCTGAAGCTTCTGTGTTCATCCTTGTTTCGGTTTTCTTAACCATAAACCCTGGAAGTGTGCAGTTACTTACTCACTGATAAGAGTACATTATCTTATCTTTCAGTCTCTCTTCTTTAGTTCTCCCAGTTAAAATGTCAGAATTAAAATTAAAATTACCCCACAGGTAAAATGTCACTGTACTGTCAATAATATACAGTCTGATGACCTCTTTATGCAATTCTTTCTCAAATGTTTTCCAGTTCTATTCAGAAGTTCAATAAATGTCAACTTTTTTTTCTTTCTTCCAATCTAAATACTTTAAAAATTTAACTTTTTAGAGAAAACTTGATTGCACCAAATATACATGTTATTCTGTTAACCTTCAATGACGTTAGACAGAAAAGCACGACTAATTTTTTAATTAGAAAACTAAAGTGGTCCTTACAGATCTTCTGAGAGAATCTCTCCCACTGACACCCCCAAACAAAAGCAATTATAGAAACAGGGAGCATTTACATTTAAAGCTAAATTTCACAGAAATAATTTGTGAAATTAATTATTTGTGGAAAAACGTATCCATTTCTAGCACATCCATTTTTGCCATGGGGGTGAAGCATGCCCGCCTATGATTCCTGTTCTTCACTGAAATGCCCTGAGGATGAAATATTGGTGCATGGCAAGAAGTCAGCTGGGTACACAGAGAAGCCTGATGGGGAGGTAAGGGAAGGGCACACGAATGAGTATAGTTTTATGATGTCTATTTTATACATAAGGAAACTGGGACTCAGAGAGCTCCAGTCCCCTGCTCTAGGCCACAAAGCTCAGTTTAAACAGAGATCTATATTTTCCAAAATGTAGATGCTTCCACTATCTCTCTTACTCTTGAAGAGTGCCTAATATTGAATGCATAGCAAGAGTGTCATATTGTGGACTTACTACAGCTGCTGCTAGTTTTTCAATTACTCTGCAACCTTTGAAATGAACCAGGTGCCCTAGTACATATAAGAGAGAAAAGGGAAAGGAAGTGGAAAGGACAAAGTTGCCAAGCTTCAACCTCTAATCTTGGAGGTCAGTATGGGTAAGGGGAAATGGGAGTCTCTTGGGTTTATCTATCTCTGTCTCTCTCTCATCTCTGTCTGTCTGTCTGTCTATCAATCTGCGGTAGCACACAAATAACATAAAATTTACCACTTTAACCATTTTTATGTGCATAAGTGAAGTGAAGTCGCTTAGTTGTGTCCAGCGCAACCTGATGGACTGTAGCCTACCAGGCTCCTCTGTCCATGGAATTTTCCAGGCAAGAGTACTGGAGTGGGTTGCCATTTCCTTCTCCAGGGTATCTTCCCAACTCAGGGATCGAACCTAAGTCTCCCACATTGCAGGCAGACGCTTTACCATCTGAGCCAGCAGGGAAGCACTTAGGTGCACAGTTCAGTGCGTTAAAGAGCATACACACTGTTGTGCAACTGTCACCATCATCCATCTCAAGAACGTCTTTCATTGTCACAAACTACTCTGTACATGCACTCACCAAGCACTGACTCCGTGTACCCCCACCCCCAGCCTCTGGAAACCACCATTCTACTTGCTGTCTCTCTGAACTTTACCACCCTACAGACATCATACAAGTGGTCTCATACAGTGCTTTTCTCTCTGGAGCTGACTTAGCATGTCACTTAACATATTCAGTCCTGTGTTATTCCATAGCCCACTATTCCATAAGCTAGTTCTAAGATGCTTAAGTCAGATCCCGAGGCTGCTGTGAGTCTATGCAAAGAAAGATGGGTGTCAGGCCTGCCTTCTGAAGTGGGGAACACGGAGTCCCCATCAGACTCTGAACTAATGGGGTGATACGGCAGAATGGAAGCATAAATCAATTATACTCTGATACACATTTCTCTAACGGTGATACTGAGCATCTTTTCATGTGACTCTTGGCCATCTGTATGTCTTCTTTGAAGAAATAGCTATTCAGGTCTTTTGCCAGTTTTTTTTTTGATGTTGAGCTGAATGAATTGTTTGTATATTTTGGAGATTAACCCTTCATCTGTTGCTTCATTTGCAAATATTTCCTCCCATTCTAAGGATTGTTTTTGTCTTGTTTATGGTTCCCTTTGCTGTATAAAAGCCTGGATTCCCTGGTAGCACAGACGGTAAAGAATCTGCCTGCAATGCAGGACACCAGGAAGATCCCCTGGAGAAGGAAGTGGCAACCCACTCCAGTATTCTTGCCTGGGAAATCCCATGGACAGAGGAGCCTGGCAGGCTATAGTCCCTGGGGTTGCAAAGAGTCGGACATGATTGACAGACTAACACTTTCACTTGGCTGTACAAAAGCTTTTAAGTTTAATTAGGTTCTATTTGTTTATTTTTGCTTTCATAGAAACTAACACAACATTGCAAAGCAGTTAAACTCCAATAGAAATTATATCTGATATTCTTATCAATTATCCTCTTATACAATTACTATTTAAAACTTGTGAGTTCTTTCAATCCCGAAAACAGCACTATGGAAAAGGTATTGTCATTTCTGTTTTCCAGATGAAATTTATCGGCATGGAAGAAAATCATAGATTTGTTTAATATCACATATCTACTAAATAGCTGTGCTGGAATTGGAAACTCATCTCCTGACTCCAAACCTTCTGTTTCTGTCACCGGGTCAACACACAGAAGCTGACCTAGACTGCAGGCTGGTTGTGAAGTGTGTGAATATGGTCTTAGGATGCCTTTAGGTTTGCTGGCGGAGCTTGTTTACCTTGAGGGAACGACGGCTTCAGAAATGTGATTATGGATTTTCTGTGTCTGATCACCCTTTGTCAGTTTGCAGAGCCCTCGAAAGACTTAATCACATTTCCTCTGCTCCATAGCCACTTCCAAGGATAGCGGATGAAGCAGGGTGACTCTCTTCCCTTTCAGCCTCTCTCCTATGCCTTTTAGGGAGTCAGGCTGCAATTCAATAACTGTAGGGTAACTGAGGTTGAGAACATAAAATAGCCACTACAAAAGTTGGTTCCATATTACCGTATGTGGTAGTACTAACTGAAACTCTTATTATGGATCCAAATATAAGGTGCACACTTCAGGAACAGAATATGTAGTAGCAACAGCTACATTTTGAAAGATGTAGACCTCAGTTTAAAGACGAACTGTGTGTCACTGAATTTCTCTGAGCTTCAGTTTTTATGTATGAAATATTCTCATTTCCGGCGTGAAGATTCATTAGTTAATGAAGTGACTGAGTCAGAGAAAACACTTCAAAGAAGTATCATTACAAGCTTAGCTCCTACTTTGAGAAAACTATCAAGCTTTGATGACCATTGTCTTTCCCATTTGTCTCAAGGAGAGCATGTTTTGGAGAAGCTCAAGGCAGAGGGGATTAAGAGGAGGCAGAAGGACAGTTTTCCTCTGAAAAGGATGCTCCTATTGAAGAGCCATCTTTGGTTTCTGTGATTTCAGGTGTCAGCTCCTGAGCTTTAGAACATGGCTGCTATAAGCAATGTGACTGAAATCATTTTCTTGGGATTCTCTCAGAACCGGGATGCCCAGAAGGTCATTTCTGTGCTGTTTCTCCTCTTATACGTGGCCATCCTCCTGGGTAATGGTCTCATTGTGGTGACCATCATGGCTGGCAAAGGGCTCACGTCCCCCATGTATTTATTCCTCAGCTACTTGTCCTTTGTGGAGATCTGCTACTGTTCTGTCACAGCCCCCAAAATCATCCTGGACTCTTTTATGGAGAGGAGAGTCATTTCCCTCAAGGGCTGCCTCACACAGATATTCTTCCTCCATTTCTTTGGTGGCACCGAGATCTTTCTCCTGACGGTGATGGCCTACGACCGCTACGTGGCCATCTGCACGCCTCTGCACTACCCGGTCGTCATGAACCGAAGGGTGTGTGGCCGCCTGCTGGGGGCGGCGTGGGGTGGGCGCTTGCTGCATTCGGTCGGGCAAACCTTCCTCTTTTTCCAGCTGCCCTTGTGTGGCCCCAAGGTCCTGACCACTGCTTCTGTGATGTCCGCCCGCTGCTGAAGCTGGCCTGCTCAGACACCGTCCTCGTCGGCGCGCTAATCGTCGCCAATGGCGGCTCCATCTCCGTGGTCAGCTTCACAGGGCTGCTTGCTTCCTACGTGGTCATCCTGCGCTCCCTGAGGACGCAGACCTCAGAAGGCCGGCGCAAGGCCCTCTCCACCTGCGCCTCGCACCTTGCGGTCGTGGCCCTGTTCTTCGTTCCTTGCTCCTTTGTCTACATGAGGCCCTGTATCACCCTCCCTGTCGACAAAATAGTCGCTGTGTTTTACACGGTGGTCACACCTCTCTTAAACCCTGTCATTTACTCATTCAGGAATGCTGAAGTGAAAAACGCCCTGAGGAGACTGATGCGGAGGAAAGGGAGTGGGGAAGAGAAATAGGTGATTCCATCAGGGAAAAATGGGGAGCAAGGCATACGAAATTGGGGTACCGAGATTTCACTGTCTACATTTAACTGACCGGGAGGTCTTGGCCCAGCCACCATCTTTTTTTTTAAAAACATATAATTTCTTTCTTTCTTTTTCCTTCCTTCCTTTCTTTTCTATTCTTCAAATTCTTCTCCTATTTAGGTTATTACAGATTATGAAACTAAATTCCTGTGCTGTACAGTAGGTCCTTGTTGGTTATCTATTTCAAATATAGCAGTGTTTACATGTCTATCCCAAACTCCCAGTCTATCCCTTCCCCAACCCACTCTTCCCCACTGGTAGCCATAAATTCATTCTCCAAGTCTGTGAGTCTGTTTTTCAATTAAGTTTATTTGTATAATTAAAAAAAAATATTCTGCATGTAAGTGATATCATATGATATTTGTGTTTTTCTGTCTGACTTACTTCACTTAGTCTCCAGGTCCATCCATGTTGCAGCAGATGGCATTATTTCACTCTTTTTAATGACTGAGTAATATTCCATTGTGTATATGTACCACATTTTCTGACCCATTCACCTGTTGATAGACATTTAGCTTACTTTTATGTCTTATCTATTGTAAACAGTGATGCCCTGAACATTGGGGTGCATGAATACTTTTGAGCCAAATTTTTCTCTGGATATATGCCCAAGTTTTGGTTTCTTCATCTTTAAGGGACTGGACAGGATTGAACGGGTCTCTAGGATGAAGTCTAGGAAGGGTCTTCTGGTGCTGCACTTCCACATTTGACAATGCTCTTGAGGCAGATTGGCTGATTTGGAGAGAATGAACTCTCTAGAAAACCAGGGTCTCTCTGGGAATAATGAAGAGGTTAGGTGTAAAAGGAGAAGGAGCTGCTCCAGGAAGGTGAAAGTTTAGGAGAGAAATAGTGGCCGTTCCAATGCTTAGACATTTTATTGTTCTGACATACCAAAGATTTGCCCAGTGGGTTCTAGGCAGGCCAAGTTGATCCTGGAGGTTTTAGTCCTCAGAATAGAAGGTGTTTTAGCTTTCGACAGAGATTCATATAAGCTCATGCTATTAAATGGAAGCACAAGGAGATTTTAAGAGATCTGAAAGCACTAGGTGATGATACCTACTTAGGCACAGATATTTTCCATGTACCATTCACATTTTTATGTCTAAAATTCTCTTCTGTTCACATCTGTCTGTCCTTTTCTCTTCCTCTTGTTTTCCCTCCTTATACCTTCATTTGTTTGGACCATTAGTTTTCTCTCTCTTCAGCCTCTTGGATTCTCATGTTTCTCAGCCCTTTGAAAAAAGCACCCCGATAACCCACTCTCTTGCACAACCATGTTACCCTGTCACTCTCCATCCATGAGCACCCCTGCTCCTCTCTATGCCTCACTTGAGCTGCCTGTTGACTACGGTATGAAGTGAACTGCCCTTGGGTCCTCCCTGCTTGTCAATCATCTTTCAATCATATTTTTTTGAGTCCTAATATCTATAACTACCTCCCCACATTAGAAGAACATACCCCTCAAACTCTAGCCCCGGCACTGACCCTCACTCACAGCAGATGATTTCTTCCCAGAAATCACCTGACAGCACTTCTCTGATTTCAGTGTTTCTCTCCTCAAGACTTCCATGACTCGCCATTGCCTTCTGAATCAACCACAAACTCCTACTTGACATGTAACACCCTTAAGGTATGGCCTACTCTTAATGTTCTTTTTTTTTTTTTTTTTAAGCTGCATTCTGGTAAAGCTCACTGGCTTCTGAAGATCCCCGGTGCCTTCCCTCTAAAATATTTTCCCATCTCTACCTTTTAACACCTTACCTACATTACAGTGCCCCTCAGAAATGCTGCTACCTTTAGGGAGCTTCCAAAATTATCCAAATTGAATATGCCTTTTTCCTTCTTTGAACTCCCATAATGCTCAGCTGGAATCTTTTAAGACCTTTAATAACTATATTTCAGTATTCTTTTCCCCCTGTTAGAATATAACTCCTTTGAGAATATGGCCTGAATCCTATTTATTTGTATCTTGCTCTAAGTGACATAGTGTAAAACTCAGTAAATATTTTGTTGATTAAGTTTCTGGAATTCCATAGTGCTTCAGCTTGTAAGTGAACAGTGGTTGTTATGTCTCTATCATTTTGGCTCATCTCAATTATCTAAATAATATACCGGCATCACACAACTTAAGACAGACTAGTAATTACACCTTGTATTGTTTCTGAGGATAATGTTATATACAAAGAATAAATATGTATATGGGTGCATATTTTACAATTATCCAAGTGATTTCATATATTTTATCTCATTTGATCCTATTATTAATAAGAAAACACTTTGGTGAGACGAATATGTATCCTTTGTTTTACAGGTGAAGACACTGAATCTTTGGGAGGTCAGTGTTTCGATTAAGGTCACAGAGTTAGTAACCCAAAAAGCTGGGTTCAGACTCAGGTTTGCCTGATTTCTAAGCCCTTGTTCTCTCTGTACATGCCTCTGCTTCTCTTTAAGGATCACCAAAACATAAATACATCTACGTTTCTGAATTCTGATCTGAGAGACCTGATAACTTCTTTACTGTATTTCTTTCCAGACACTTCAGGGTAAAAATAGATGTTTTAAAAAATTTTCTGCTTGACTCCCTTCACGTTTCTGGGTCCACAGAAAAGCTGCGCTGCAGATCTGGGAGTGTAGGGCATGAAAACAGAAAGACATGATATTTCAGGCTCAGGCTCCTCTTCTTATGGAGGTGAAGCCTGGGCATTGAGCCATGAGAGTTACCTAACACATGGAAACAAAACTCAGCGTGTTGGCCAAGAAGAGAGTTTTTTTTCTAGTGACGTACTGAATATGAATACTGAAAATGGCACAAATCTTGAGAATATCATATAGATCAGAAAACAGAAAATATGAATCAAATGACTACTATGAATTGAGCATCCACTAATAAATTTCCTAAAATTAGATCTCAGGGGACAAAGGTCACTTTGCAGTTGAGGAAACTTCAGTTCAAAGACTCTTCCAAAACCCTTGATGTTTTTTCTCTACCAGTTGTGTGTGAACTATGATTTAGAATCCAGAGTTCTTCAGGTACATCATGGGCTGATGGGGGAGCAGAGCAGGAGAGGATAGGATGCAGTCTAACAGGCATGTGAGGACCTTCAATCAGAGCAGTGAATTATCTCTTAAAAATCTATTTTATGTAAGATTTATGTTGATAAAAATCAAATATTTTTATCAACATATATCTTGTTGATTTACATTGATAAAAATATTCAAACTCTTAAAAAAGTTTAAAGTCACCCTAATATAATATGCTCACACTTCTTTCTTGATTGGTTATGGCCAGGTTCTGTGGTTTGGTTATGGACTGGCAGGCTTTAGGAAATTACCTACATGCTGAGCAGTTCAGTTCAGTCACTCAGTTATGTCCGACTCTTTGCGACTCCATGAACCGCAGCACGCCAGGCCTCCCTGTCTAACACCAACTCCTGGAGCCTACCCAAACTCAAGTTTATTGAGTCAGTGATGCCATCCAACCATCTCATCCTCTGTCGTCCCCTTCTCCTCCTGCCTTCAATCTTTCCCGGCATCAGGGTCTTTTCCAGTGAGTCAGCTCTTCACATCAGGTGGCCACAGTGTTGGAGTTTCAGCTTCAGCATCAGTCCTTCCAATGAACACCCAGGACTGATGTCCTTTAAGATGGACTGGTTGGATCTCCTTGCAGTCCAAGGGACTTGCAAGAGTCTTCTCCAACACCACAGTTCAAAAGCATCAATTCTTTGGTGCTCAGCTTTCTTTAATAGCTGTGAAAAGAAGAGAAGTGAAAAGCAAAGGAGAAAAGGAAAGATATACCCATTTGAATGTAGAGTCCCAAAGAATAGCAAGGAGAGATAAGAAAGCCTTTCTCAGTGATCAATGCAAAGAAATAGAGGAAAACAACAGAATGGGAAAGACTAGAGATCTCTTCAAGAAAATTAGAGATACCAAGGGAACATTTCATGCAAAGATGGGCTCAGTAAAGGACAGAAATGGTATGGACCTGACAGAAGCAGAAGATATTAAGAAAAAGTGGCAAGAATACACAGAAGAACTGTACAAAAAAGATCTTCATGACCCAGTTAATTATGATGGTGTGATCACTCACCTAGAGCCAGACATCATGGAATGTGAAGTAAGTGGGCCTTAGGAAGCATCACTACAAACAAAGCTAGTGGACGTGATGGAATTCCAGTTGAGCTATTTCAAATCCTAAAAGATGATGCTGTGAAAGTGCTGCACTCAATATGCTGAGCAGGGAAAACATCTAAAGTTCAAGTCCAGAGAGTCAGGGCAAGACCTTCCTCAATGAAAGTGAAGGCATGCCTCAGAATAAGAAGCATGTCCAATCAGGGTGAACTCTCCTGAACATGCAGTATCGACTCAGCCTGCTCAGCCCTTTTGGGATGATATCACTATTGTGTCTTTCTATTGTCATTGCAGACTGTTATCATGAGACTCATAGCATTCAGAGTCTTTTTCATAATTTAAAAAAATGTGAGACTTGTATGCAACTAGAAGTATTGTACTTTATGTGGGTGGTTAATGTCAAGGGAATTGGGTGAAACGTTGTTTTTGTTCAGTCGCTAAGTTGCATTCCAGCTCTTGGAATGCATGCCAAGCTTCCCTGTTATTCACTATCTCCAGGAGTTTGCCAGAATTCATGCCCATTGAATCAGTGATGCTATCTAACCATGTCAACCTCTGTCGCTCCCTTCTCCTTTTGCCATCACTCTTTCCCAGCATCAGGGTCTTTTCCAATGAGTTGGCTTTTCACATCAAGTGGCCAAAGGATTGGAGCTTCTGCTTCAGCACCAGTTCTTCCAATGAATGGGTTGATTTCCTTAAGGATTGACTGGTTTGATCTCCTTGCAGTCCAAGAAACTCTCAAGAGGCTTCTCCAGAACTACAGTTCGATAACATCAGTTCTTCAGTGCTCAGACTTCTTTGTG